CACCCCCTGATGCTCTGAAGGACAGTGCCAGGTTCTGCCATCACTGCTGTGTCCTGTTGGGTCAGAATTGTGGAAGCATTTTCAAGGCAGGGTCTGGCTTTATGGGAAGTGTATGTTGCTGCCATTTCTCACTGTTGTGACTGAGGGTCAAGAGACAATCAAGTCCTTTGTGTCTCATCATTTGTATTCTCTCAGCACTTGTTTAAAGTCACTTCCATATTTCCAGAACATCTTTTGAGTTTCAGCTCCCTTTCTCTTTGAGCATCACCAGCTCAGAGGATGTGCAAAGCCCTGACCCCTGAGCTCTCCCACTGCCCTCCCTGCCCTCAAAAGCTCTCCTGGTGGCCATGGCGAAGGGTGGGGACAATTTTTACCCATTGGTCTGGCTCTTTTGCTCCACAGGTGGCTGAAAGAGCAGCAGCCCCTGGCAAAGGCCACAGGAGCCCAAGGCAATGGAGCAGGACAAATCCATTCCMGAGGTGTCCAACACTCCGCCCATGCCCAGGAACCTCCGGCCCCCCGCTCGCCCTCTGGCCTCTCGCTTCATACCCGTGGTTGTCCACCCCRGGGGCCGTCCCCTCAGCTCTTTTGAGTTTGTTTTCTACCGGCCCGAGTTCCCCAACACTCTGGCCCCCTTCACCACCCTGCAGAAGCCGTCCTGCGGGTTCCAGTTCCAGGAGAGCACCCAGCACCGCCGCCAGCGCATGGACGTGGACAGTGCCAACGTGGCCAAGTGGAGRTCTCTGTACCGCAGGAAACCGTGAGCAGAGCAGCCCAGGCCGGGCAATAAAACCCTGAGAGCAGCAGTTGGTGTCCCTTCAGTGTCCCAGCAGCGCTGAGCACGTGGGCTGGATGGGGAGGCTGTGCCACTGCTCCCCACACAAATATGCACAGAGGATTTTGCTCCAAAAACCCGGCTCAGCTTGTCCTGCCATTCAGGAGTGTCACAGCACAGGGCACTGAGTGAGTGGCACCCAGCCCAGCCCATCTAGGCTCAGCTCAGGCTGGGCTGGAGCTCAGGGCATCGCTGGAGGTTCACCTTGCTCAACAGGGAGCCGGTGGTGAGCACAGAATTAGCACATCCAATTAGTGTTCCTCAGCTTAATGCCTTTTTCATAAGTGTCCTACGATTGTGTAATGATGCTTTTTTTAGCAGAGTTATTCCTAATTTACCTCRGTGCAGGAGCAATTCTGGGCTCTTTCCCTTGTTAGATAACTGCRGGTGTCAGACACAAACTGTGGGTTATGGATAAACTCTCTCTGGAGAGAGAGCAGTCACACCCATCCCTTTCCAGCTGAAGATCTGCCCATGATGCTTTCGGGGGTATTTGATCCCTGAGTCCTCCTCAGAATGCTGTGTGAGAGCAACATTGGGTTTGGTTGTATTTAATTGGGAATTTTTCCATGGTAATCCATAGCAAGTGAAAATTGAAGCTGCATTTAACGGCGCCGGTGTGAGCTGAGTTTGTGAGGCAGCAGCCAGGACACACTCCTGGGATGAGCAGAGTGTGGGACAATCCTGGGGAGAAAATGCTCAATTAGAAAATGCTCAATTAGAAAATGCTCAATTAGAAAATGCTCAGCCAGACTGAACACGGGACCCCTGGGCTGGGGGGAGAGGCCCCTTCCCCTCCTCCGTCTGTAATTAAAGCCCTTAAACCTTCGCCATTCAGATCAATTACGTTGCTATATTTGTCT